GGTAGGGTTTTTCTTTTTTCTCTCTCCCTCCTGCATTTTTTATTTACCTTCCATATTGGTTTTTTTTTTGTGGCTTCCTTTTTTTGTATACTTTTTCATACTTGAGACTTTTTAATTGGATTAAGGTGTTGAAGAACCTGAAGAAATTCCTTTTTCTTTTTAGTTCTTTACTTTTTATTATTCTGCCTTCTACAAGATTTAACAATTTTTTCCTTTCTCGGTTTATGTTTTTTTTCTTCCTTTTTTGAGCTTTTACTGTTAGTTAACTAACTGATTGAATTAAGGTATACAAGAACCTGAAGAATTTTGAATTGTCCAAAATAAGCAGGAAACTAACAGTGTCTGGTTCTTCAATTTCTACTTCTTCCTCTTCACCATCTGGAAGACAATGCTCAATACAGACAATGTTACAAGAAAAAGAACAGGAAAAGGTGACATTGCAGATGATAATGCAAGGAATTCAAAGCATACAAGCAAGAACAGAGAATACTGAAAGGAGAATTAAAAAAAAACTGATGAAAAGGTGGAGAATATTCAACAAATGATGATGAAGTATGATGAAAAATTCAAAAAAATTGAAGAAGAAGATAAACAAAGAGATAAGAAGATTGGAGATATTGATGACAGATTAACAGTGGTTGAACAAGATAAAAGTGGGATACTGAGATGGGAGATGGATAGATCAGAATTTTATTTCAGATTTCAAACATAGAGGAAGAAAAGGGACAAAACTTAGCTGAGATAATGATAGAAATCTTGGCTGAAGCCCTGGAAATAACCAAAGAGAAGATGATGGATGGAATAGATGAGGTTTTTTGAGTCTTCACAAGATATACAATGAGAAATAGCCTACCAAGAGAAGTTCACATCAGATTTACAAAGAAAGCCATTAAAACACAAATATTGCAGGTGGCAAGATAGAAAACATTGAAATATAAAGATAAGGAGATTGTGGTCCTGAAACAAATGCCCAGAAGAGTGAGCGAGATGAGAAGAGAATACCAATTCTTGACTAAATCCTACTTTAAAAAGAGGTGAATTATAAATGGCTAATTCCAGAAGGTTCACATGGCAAGAACAAAGACACAGAATTGACTCAATTGAGACAGCTGAATTGTTTTATACTGGATACTTTGGAGGGAGAGAGGCGGAGACAGAAAAAGAAATGTCACTAATTGAATTCCAAGAGGATTGCCAAATCATGACTGAAAAAAAAGAAGGTGCAATAGGCAGAAAGGTAGAAGTTAAGGAACAGCGTGAACCAAGGTCTACAAGAGCTGCTAGACCTACTTATAAAGTATAAATATGGAAGAGAAAAAACTGATTACAATTAACATAAACGGACTTAATTCAGCTGTTAAAAGAAGGAAAACTTTCCATAAATTAGAGAAATTAAACTTTGATATAATCTGCCTACAAGAAGTACATATTAAAAAGCAACATGAACAACTGTTGATACAGCCAAAGTTAGGGAAAATATTTACTTCTTTGACACAATGTAAGAAAAGGAGTGGTTTTATACATTAAAGATATTATCCCAGTGAAATTGATCTATACAGATGACGATGAAAGATTAATGGTGGAAACAATGGACAATAATATGAAAACACTCCTGATTGCAATCTATGCCCCGAATGACAATGGAACTTAAATTGATTAAATAGTGTATGATCATTTAGTTCCATCCTAGCATTTTAATCCCCACCTACAATTATTGCAGCCATGGGATATTTGTCTAAATGACTATAGATAAAATTGTTAATGTGCTCTCAAATATTATTGATCAGATTGTTCTTATTAAGAGGGGGAATATAAATATTTAAAAGCAAAATCTCCATGGATGAGAGCAAGGTAATCACAACCCATGGCTGTAAAGAAGGCAGTGAGACACATTTAAATTGCAGAGCTGTGCTCACAATACTGCCTTTAGATCTCCTTCCCACCTTGCTTAGGGCAGCTGGGATAGAGTTAACCTAGTAACCATCTAACTCCACCTCTGAAAATTTCCTATAGGAACCAAACATCAAATTGTGATATATAGTCAAAAAAAGTGTTTTTTTTTATTTATGAAACTGACCAGCCAGTGATATTCCAAGTTAGGAGGGAAAGAGGATAGTCATTTGAGGCTCATCAGGAGATATGGTTTTGACAAGAAGAAGCTTTGGGGTTATTATATTGGGTTGGGAGGTCATCATCAGCCATTATGGTTTCCTCCAAGGGATGACTTAACTTCCTACATCAGCTCTTGGGGGTCTTTTTTGCAGTGGATGACATTGAGACAAGGATAGCATTTAACAATGCTTGCCTTGTGAGGGGCTTCTGCAGATGGCAAAAGAGAATCATGCTGCATCTGGCTCTGTGTCATTGAATTAAATCATGCACCTGGCTCTGTGTCATCGATTAAATCATGCTGCATCTGGCTCTGTGTCATTGAAGTTGGCAAGGATCCCCTGCCCATCCACTGATTTGTTGCTAGAGTCCCCATGGAATATCCTGATGAAAGTAACGACTCCTCCTCAACTGCAGAATCCTCTACTGGCCCAAGAGAATTCAGTCTTCTAGTTTTTATAGAGCCATTTTCAGGTAATCCATTATTTTCAGAGGGGAAAGTAAGAGGCTCCGTGTTTGGAGGTAAAAGGTGTATAAGTGGCTCAGCTGTGGTAATTATGGCTAGATAGGTTTTCTTCAGATTTTATACTTTGAATAGTACATTGTCATGTTCTTTTCATGGTAAGGAGCCAAAAACATTAATAAGGCCAGCTTCTGCGCTGAGAACATCTTCATGAAGTAAGGCTGACTGACTCCACACTCTAGCTTTCTCTAGGTTGGGAGGGAAGAAGCAGTGACCTTGGGAGCTAGTATATTAGCTTTTAAAGGTTTAATCTTTTTATCAGAAAAGACTCTAGTGGGAAAAATTTGAAAGGAAACTAGATATGCTCTCATCTTGAATAGCATCAAAGGGATGATAGTCTGCTTAAAGGACAAGAGAATCTGCTTTTTAAATTTGTTTTACTTACAATTCTCTTTCATGCGAAGTGCTCCTCAATTCTTGGCTATTTTGCAGAGTTCAAAGGAGGGAGATGTCCTGGGCTAATTCCATGGTGTTTTTTCTTTTCTCCATAACTATCAACTCCAATGAAAATCTGTTATAAGTCCAGTAAACGTACTAAAAATCTAATTATATAATAAAATAATAAAACTGAGTGGAGCTGCTGTAAATGTGTGTTGCTTGGCTGATAGCTCAGACTCCTCCTGAATTAGGAAGAAAGGGCTTCCTATCATCATGTTCCTGCAGTATACAGCTTCATAGTGCTTTACAGCACTCTCTGGGTGGTTTACAATGTCAGCATGTTATCCCCAACAATCTCGATCTTTGTTTTATTGACCTTGGAAGGATGAAGGCTAAGTCAAACTTGAGCCCCATCAGGGCTGAACTCCAGGCTGTGGACAGAATTTGCCTACCATGCTTCATTCTAACCACTGAGACACCAGGACTCCTGGTACGGATGTTGTCCAGTTACAGATTACTATTCAATCATATTAAAAAAGCTGAATCTATCTCCACTTTCTGAATTGGACTACTGTATGTATTAATGATATCTAATAATCTTGCAAAAGAAAAATGTTGTATATTTACAAATATTATTGCAAGGTGTTTCAAAAGTAACTTTTCTATTTAAAACAAAACTGATACAATTTCCAAAAAAGGTAGGGAAAGAATATGATTTAATTTATTGACTTAACAGTTTCTGTGTCAAATTTACATTTAATCAATTTAAGAAGGAACAATACTGGATTTACATGCAAATTGATTGAATGAAGCATTATAACTTCATGAAATTAAAAATCCAAGTAATTTACATTCCATTATATAATCATTCCTCCTTACTGCAAACAATTTCCCCATATTTCTGGTGCTCATTAAACGAATCATAATTTTTAAGACATGAAAAATAGTATTTCCTGATCTTAATCTGATTTTCACTCTTTAAATCTATCGTATCAATAGTTACATATTAAATCTACTATTATTGGAAGTAAGTTACAGCAAGTTCAGGGAGCTTTCTCCCATATTTGCATTAAATTAACTGTTGCTGTTGATTTTCTTAACTAAAATTTAAAAGTAGTTACAGAAATAAAGAAAAAAGCTACCTCTAAGGCTTACACAGTCAGACAATTTTGTTTGATAGAAATAGCTTTATAAGATGTCAAACAAATATTGGTGAGTGGAACTCCAAATAGGTGCTTTGCTTTTATGAAGCATGGAAGAAATCAGTCCTTGAAGGTTAATTGTAAAGCAGAGCAACTTTTCATTTTTAAGTCATGGACCAGCTTGCTCATCTAGTCTGTACATGCAAAGAAGCCATTTTGAAAAGGTACAGTTGGCTGAAACACATTGTCCTTGATTTATTGCTTTGTGAAATTGAGTCATTACCTTTGCTGCCCAAACCATCAAAAGGTAATCTGGCATCAAGGTTCTCCCTTGGTGATTCTTTCAAATATATAAATTTATATATCTAAAAAGTCTTTCATACATCTAAATGTCTTGGCCTTGATTGGTTTAATCCCCACCCCAAGTTTTATTAGATTTTTATTTTAAAATAAACATCAATATCACTACATGAGCAGTGTGGCCCCTGGGTATAATTCATTTTGATACAGACATCAATAATAATATTCATAATGGTTGTTATATTAATCAAACTTATATAATCCTAGTATTAATATACACAGTTTTTTAACATAGTTATTCAGTATTATATTCCATTTTAATGCCAATGATGTTATAAGCATATATGATAATAGCATCTTTCAACTCTAATATTTTCCATCAAGTTATTACAATATTCTATTGTATAAAGATTATATCTGCTAGTATTCCTCTATTTCTTATTTCTAGCTCTATTCTAACTTCTAGTCAGGTCACCCTTGTTAATCCTAATATGTTTATATAAGGCATTGGTTTACTATTTTTAAAGCATACATTTGAATAAATATAAATCAATGTTCTACTATGTTTCTCTTGAAGAACAAAATGAATTGTGTTACACTACTTTCAACTGACCAGGATAGTACAAACCACTTTGATGTACATTCACACTATAAAGGGAATCATAGCTTTTCTCCACCTGTGTGTAATAGATTTCTTCAGATACAGTTGGTGCTTCTTTCGAGCCCATTGTACCATCTGGATTGACATTAGTAATGCAAAAACACCAACTAAAGAAAAAGAAGGAAATTGCTGGTCAACTGGGGCATTGTCAGAAAATATATTTTCTCCACCCTCGCCATCCATACAAGGTTGTTTTAGAATTGGGGAATATTTTTACTGCATTATAGCTTAAGTGAAGGGACAGGATCCTAGATAGAGTTCATGCAGTTTTGGAAGTTGTCTGAGAAGCTTTTGTTTTTAATAGCTTCTGTGTTTACTGAATATTATCTATTTAAAAATAATGCTTCCTCATATTTCCTGATTTCAAAGGAAAAAACTTATTATTTAAATTTTCCTCACTGTTGGATCAAAACATTTATTAATGGAAGGAAATTAAATTAAACAGTGCACACACTGCAAACAACTAGCCTTTAATATCATATTTTATAAGTTTTCGTAAGTAAAGTTCATCTTTGGAGGGCTACTTTATTTTCTGGTACGTGGGCATTTGTATTAATGATCATGGCAACTATTGGGGGGGGGGGGGGGGCAGCCATTTTCATTTCTATCATGTGCTCCCAAAATTGCAAGTGCGCCTTTGTCTAGAAAGACTAACTCCAACAAATTAACCTTGTTGAGTTAATAGATAATAGAAATAAATCCTAAACTGATTCTTACTCTGCTTAGTTCTGTGGAAGATTAAAGAAGGCAGCTGTTTCATAGTTCCTAATTAATACAAATCATATGCATTCTTACCTGGCAGAGTTTGTGTCATCACTGTAAAACACAACCAAGAGCCAATCTATTATAGGAATAAAAGAAAAAACCTTCACCAGATGGGAATAAAAGTACTTTCTTTTTTCTTTTTGGGCTGAATTGTTGGACTCACAATAGCTTTCCATCAATGGAAGCTGTTCCATTTCCCCAGGCACCATCTAGGGCAGTGATGGCATATATTTTTAACTCAAAATTTTGGAAAATACCTACCATGACTCTGTAGACATATCACACATAGTCACACAAAAGAAAGTGAAACAATTCTCCATCTCCCTCCCACATCTATACCACCTGAACAGAGGCACTTAGTGGCAGCACCAAGGCTGAATCTGAAATAAAGGCCTTGACTTATCAAAAATACTTTAAATTAAATCTGGAGGGTGATCAATCTTTAGGATCTAATCCCAAGTATAAACCCCATGACAATCAATCAAACAATGAGGTAGGGAATGATGGTGTCAACTGCTGAGCTGGCGAATCCAGAAAAAGAAAGTCCTTAGACATTATTTTACCAAGAGTATAAACTTTACTGAATAAATCCACATTGGCACAGAAGAAGTGAAACCAGCTCTGGGCTTCCCGCGCAAATGCATGCATAGTTCATTTCCTCTTTCTCCATGGTCCACCCCAGTCCATTATGTCCACCAATCACTTCTGTTCATTTTGTTTTGGGAGCCAGCCGATCATGTTGTGACATCTGCTTTGGCTGTCCTTGGGGGGTGAGCAATGTCTCATGGGAATCAGTGATGCTTGAATGCCATTCCCCCCACCCTTGCAGTCCACTCCACCAACACCCTATTCTTTGTCAAGCTGCAAGCAAAGTGGAATATAGTTGAAAGTTCGAGTTTGTCTTGACATGCCGACCCCCCTGGAAGAAGGGTAGACCTGAAACAAGAATAAACATACAAACACATTATTACTTACAACCCAATTACTGCTACATTCCTTATAGGGGCCGTTGAAGGTACCTAGTTTTGAAACCTCTTAACAAACCTTACTGCCCTAACATCTGGAGCAGTCACCCACTCAGTGTCTGCTGATAGTTAGCCTTTCTACCGTACTAAGTACTGTAATTTTCCCTTATGATATCTGGAATTGAGAATCATTTTGATCTCATAATGCTCCTCTCCCTTAACTAAGATGGGAGGAGAAGATGGTTCTTTGGCCTAAAGCCAGATCCCCGAAAGGGTTTTAAAAGACTGCAATGAAATACTGGATATATTTGCCTTCTTGGCAACTTTAACTCTGGATTCACAATCTGAACAATTTGGAAAGGCCCTATGTATTTGAGACCTAACTTTTTACAAGGCTATCTCAGGTTTAGATACTTGATGGACAAATACACTTTATCTGCCACTCTAAATTTCCTTTTGGGGGACTTTTTCCAATCTGCTTGCCTTTTTTGGCTTTCCCTAGCTTTATTTAGCATTTCATTCATGGAAGACCATGTGGCTTTTGGAGTATCCATCCAGTCAGCTAATGACATTGAGGCTGGAGCTTCTTGTGGGAGCTCTGGCATGGGCACAAACCCAATCCCGTGGCCACTTTGAAAGGGATAAAACTTGTGCTGCTGTGCACTGAGTTGCTATATGCCACTTCTGTGAAAGGTAGGAGCTCAGCTCAATTAGCCTGCTGATAATTTATATAACAGCACAGGCATTGGTTACCTAATGAGTTGGCATATTCAGCTGCCCATTTGGTATTCCGATAGTAGGTGGCACTAAGTTCAAGGGAGGAACTTATCAATTTTAAAAATTCCTGCCAAAATGTTGTGGTGAATTGTACCCCCTGTTGGAAAAAATGTGTTTTGGGACCCCGTGTAGTCTGTAGATGTGTTGCATAAACATCTTGGCTGGAACCCGGGCAGAAGGAATCTTCGGACAAACTACAAAGCATGCTTGCTTCAAAAACAGGTCAATGAACAATCCAAATTACTGTGTTCCAGCACTCTCAGGCAATTCCATGATAAAGTCCATGTATATCTCCTCCCATGGGCTAGCTGTATTGGCTACCAACTATAGCAAGCCTGGAGACTTCCCAGATAGGTGTTTCATGGAGGCACACACAGGAAAGCTGGCCACATAGGCTTCTATGTCCTTTTCCATCTTCAGCCACCAGAACTGTCTCTTCACCAGGTGAAGGTCTTCACAAACCCAAAATGTCCTGTGGATTTTGCATCATGCCTCCTCTGGAGGACCAAAGTTCTCTGGCTGGCTGCAATGTACGCTTTACTCCCCTCCCATGCCAAGCCCTCCTTCATCATCAGGTCATCTTTATGTCTTTTGAACTATTCATCCATCCTCTAAACATCTTTTAGCAATTGTATCATCAAGTTCTGAGCTTCTTCTACTGCCTTCGAGTGCTGGCACTGCAAGCTGCCTGGATGGGTTAATGGAATTAGCTACCTCCTCTCAGGTACTTCTGTACTGGGGCATGAAAGATGGGGCATTGGCTAAGAAATTCTTCCCACCTTGAAAGTTGCGAAGGGTGAAATTGAAGTGGTTAAAATACTGAGCCCATCAGACCTGCTTAGGGGATAGCTTCCTTGGGTCCCTGAGTGCTTCCAGGTTCTTGTGGTTCATCCATACTTCAAATTGAATCTTACTGTCCTCTAAGAACTGCCTCCAGATGAGAAGAGTCCATGAGATCATGTAAGCCTCCTTCTCCCAGATAGTCCACTGCCTCTCAGTATCAGACAACTTGCGAGACATGTAGGCACATGGTTGCAATTTTCACTTTTTGTTCTTCTGGAGTAAAACTGCCCCTTCTACCACATTACTGGCATCTGCCAGGATCACAAAAGTTGAATTTGGGTGCTTCAAGACCAGCTCAGCAGCAAAAAGCCACTTCAGCTTTTCAAAGGCTGCCTGGCATTTGATGGACCAATTTAGTGGCTGACTCAGTTTGGGTTTCACTCCCCCTCTCATCTTGATCAAGTTGGTGATGGACGGGGCTATCTGGGCACGTATGGGGATGAACTGCCAGTAAAAGTTTGTGAATCCCAGGAAACTGTGCTACTGCTTCTTGGTTTGAGCAGCCTCCCATTTCAGGATTGCTCTCAGCTTGATCAGGTTCATCTCCACTCCACCATTGGAGATGCGGTAGCCCAAATAGTCTAGACTGGGTCTTGTGGAAGTCACATTTAGATTGCTTCACATATAGCTGAGCTTTGTGCAATTTTTCAAGTATTACTCTCATTAGATTTATGTGCTCTTTCATGGTCTTGGAATAAATTAAAATGTCATTCATGTATACTCCTTTGTTCATGCAGGACCTCATATATTAATTGCATGAATAATACTGGAACATCTTGCAGTTCAAATGGCATCACCCAAAATTGGTAGCAACTGAATGCAGTTGAATGCAGTTTTCCACTCATCCCTGTCTTTAATCCTCACTTGGTAATAGGCTTCCCTTAAGTCCAGCTTAGTAAAGATCTTCCCCTTGGCTAGATAGTCCAGCATGTCATTTGTGAGGGGTTGGGGATACATATTCTCCATGCATATGAATCTAATCCTCTCTAATCTATGCATAATCTGAGAGATCTAATTTGAGAGATCTAATCTGAGAGATCTAATCTTTAAAAGAAAGTACAGGGATAGCCATCCATGACTTTGCTGGCTGAATAAACCTCCTGGCTAAGTTCTTGTCTATGAGCCCTCAAAGTTCCTCCATTTTCCTTGGCATCATGGCATTCTTGGCATCTTCACTTTCGGTAATTTAGCCCCTGGCAAGATTTCAATAGCACAGTCTGTAAGGCTGTGGGAGTATGTCTGATTTCCTTTAACCGAACACTTCTGCTAGGCCACAGTACTTAAAAAATGAGCAGCTCTAACTTCTTGCTTCCTTTTAGGGTATTCACTGATTCCGCTTTCAGTTTCCTAACTGGCATTCAGCTTTTTTACTGGCTCCTGCTGGTTAGCCACTTTCTTCCTCATTTGCTACTTGTTGCTGTCCCAATCTACTGATGGATTCTGTTTCTTCAAGCAGGCTAGTCCTAAGTCCATGGTCTTGTCATTCCAGGAGGCACAATAAAATGAATAGTTGATATATGAGTCCCAGGCCTGAGGCTTACTGGCTCTGTTAAGCAAGTTGCTGGTACCCCTCCCATAAATGAGCCATCTAACTGGAGAATCGCATGAGCTGCTTTAACTTCTTCAGCCTCAACCTTAGTTTCTCCATGTCTGTAGGCTAATTAGGCACCCAAGTCCAACAAGGCCATATAGATCCCCTTAACTCCCAAGAGGGCACCCAAATCTCCACCTGGGCCATCATAGGAGTGATGGTATCATTTATCATCAGATCATATTCTCCTTTGCTGTCACTTTCATAGAAGACCAAGGTGGGTTTTCCATGAGTTGGAGTTCCTCCCCCTTTGCTGGATTAGGGAGATAACTCCACGACCTCTTGAGCTGCCTGCATTTTTTCCTTCAGCTTTGGGGTAGTATTTTCAGCTCTAGTTGGGCCAGGGTTCACAGTGCAGATGCCAGCCATGATGCAAGGCTGCCCAGTGGCCTTCCTTCCCACATCAGAAAAATGGTCCAGGTTCCAGTGGGGCTTCTTCCCCTTAGTAAGGGATGCACCCACTCTCCCTCCAAGGAGCACTGGGCATCTATCAGGCATTCTTATGTGCAACATGCTCCTGGCACTTGATCAAGTCAAGCTCCACATTTGTGGCTAACTGGTACCACACTGGAAAGTCATGGGGCACTTCCTCTGGGGCAGGCAGTTGTGATACAGCTCCTTGTTAGCATCTCCCAGAATTGATAGATCAATGTACAATCTCTCAGGTGAGCTGCCAGGGTATGAAAATCTTGGATCTACTCTGTCCCTGGCCACTTGCTTTGCTGCAGGGAGAAGATGTGGGTTTTTTGAGATCTCACAATATCTACATGAAAGTTTCTCCTCATCATGGAGAGACACTAGCCATCCAGCTGCATCTTCCTCCAAGTTTGATGTAATGGCATTAACCTCATCTGGGTTCCTTGCTCCAGGGCACTTCATGTAGTTCCATACTTGGGTCAG